AGTGATATCCGCTAGTAAGGTAAGCCATAAGGTCAGGGAGAAACAGTGGATCTCGGCAGCATCTACCACACTGATAGACGCTCGAAAACTCATCCCTCCTGGCTCTGAACATAACGAAGAGCGGAGTCAGCTTAAGCGAAGGCTAATAAGAAGCCTACAAAATGATCGTGAACAGTGGTGGGTAGCGAAAGCAAGAGAGATGGAAAAGGCAACGGCAATAGGTAACAGCAGACAGCTATTCAGACTTGTTAAAGAAACCGGTATTAGGAACCCAAGTATCAGTGAAACTATCTTAGACAAAGATGGACATATCATTCATTCTCAATCCAGGAGATTGGATCAATGGGCAGAACACTTTAGGGATCAGTTCAACTGGCCTTCAGCCACACTTCAGTTACCCACGATCCCCAGTCGTCCTGAATGGCGAATTGAGGTAAGTCCTCCAACTCTCTACGAGGTTGAAAAAGCTATAGAAAATCTAAAGCGAGGGAGAGCCGCAGACCCTGATAGGTTTACCCCTGAGATTTTTAAGGATGGTGGTCCAGTACTAGCAACGAGATTGACTGAGGTCTTAGGTGGAATATGGGAACTGAACGTAATTCCATCTGACTGGTCCCAATCACTGATTGTGCCAGTCTATAAGAAAGGACAAAAGTCCACCTGTGACAATCACAGAGGAATTACTTTGACTAATATAGTGTCTAAAATATTAGCTTCAATAATACTTAGACGCCTAACCAAAACTCGTGAAGAGCAGACTAGAGAAAACCAGGCTGGTTTTCGACCTGGACGTGGTTGCACAGACCAGATATTCACTCTACGTCAGGTCCTAGAACATAGACATACATTCAGACGTCCCACAATAGTAGTATTTCTTGACCTTAAGGCAGCATTTGACTCCGTTGATCGTGAGGTTCTATGGCAGTGTTTGTCAGTGAAAGGAGTACCAAAGAAGTACATTAACCTCATAAAGGCTCTCTACTCGAACACAACTGGTCGAGTTAGAGCCTATGGCGAACTGTCATCAGAATTGGTTACCTCAAGTGGCGTTCGTCAGGGCTGTCCACTCTCCCCATTCTTGTTTAACTTTGTCATTGACATACTTTTAGAGATAGCACTTTGATCAGCTAAACCTCCAGGAGTTGAACTTTTACCGGAAGGCTCACTTGTTGACTTAGAATACGCCGACGACATAGTTTTACTCGGTGAAGACGCTGACAAAATGCAGAGTCTTCTGACCACTATAAGCAACTATGCAGGCATGTTCGGGATGCGATTCTCTCCCGCGAAGTGCAAAATGTTACTTCAGGATTGGGTTGCATCGACACCTGAACTAATGATAGGGAGTGAAGTAGTTGAGCGTGTTGACTGCTTCACTTATCTTGGGAGTCTCATCAGCCCTTGTGGTCTGGTATGTGACGAAATCTCAGCACGGATACAGAAGGCTCGTCTAGCTTTCGCCAACTTGCGTCATTTATGGCGTAGGCGAGATATTCGTCTAGCAACAAAAGGACGGGTTTACTGTGCAGCAGTTCGCTCCGTCCTACTCTATGGCAGTGAAACATGGCCAATAAGAGTAGAGGATATTCGTAGGCTACTAGTGTTCGATCATAGGTGTCTTCGAAGCATTGCTCATATATCCTGGGACCACCGGGTAAGTAATGCAGTTGTTAGGAAACGAGTACTAGGTAGGGATGGCAAATCGATTGATGAAGTAGTGAAACTTCATCAGTTGAGATGGCTGGGACATGTGTTACGTATGCCCAACCACCGACTGCCCCGACGTGCAATGTTTCATGGTGTAGGAGTAGGTTGGAAGAAAGCTAGGGGTGGCCAGACCAAAACGTGGTACAAATCCATGAAGTCACTGACAAGTGGACTGGGTCATGTTAGTAGGTGTAGACTACCTGGTTGGGATTCGCGAGATGATAGCAACCGATGGTTAGAGACCTTGAATGACATGGCTCAAAATCGTTTGCAATGGCGAAGGTGCATCCACTCTTAGTGTTCTACCAAATTCTAATCTTCTGAATTCCTCATGTCTTTATCTTTTTCTCTTTCCAAATTTATTTAACTGTACTATACTCCTTCAATAATTTCTTCAAACCCTAATCTTTTGGATTTCTGATTATACTCCTACTACTTCTACCACTATGGGATTTGAATCGATAACTGCATCTCTGTGCTAATGTGGTATGGCAACTCGAACTGATGTACGTACGTACGAAGTTCTACGTTGTGACTGACTGACTGACCACATTTTGCTGAAACTGTATTGATCCGCAAACGTTCATTGGACAACTACCAATAGTCAATAATTTGACCGAAAACAACTTTTGTTTATCCATTAAGTAATAATATTCGTTTTTATTCAGTATGGACAGACAAAACATTGTACATATATGACAAGGAAAGAAAGAAACGTTTAAACCAGCTGAAATAAAATTCATAATGATGAAAGTAAAGAGTGATATATATCAACAAAAGACAAGGTAATAATAGTATCATTACTTATAAGGTCTTCCGCGACTGCTACGCCCACCCCGTTGACCTCTTCCGTAATTAAAATCACCAACGACTGGACCCTTTGTAGGCTAAAATGAAAACGGGTAGAGATTAAATATATTATCTGGCAAAGTTTCCGACTATCACCATCAATCAAAAACATTTAACTACAACAACTAGTAACACACTTTTATAGCAACTGGTGCTACACAAATACAGGTCCGTGTAAATGCTGTCAATTGAGCTCTAATATTATACGCATTCATGCAGTTTTTCTCATTTTTTGGAGATGGCATACTACTAAACAACACAGTAAGATAGCATTGAGGGAAAAAGAATGACATGTGGGAAAACAGAAGCACAAATTATAATTTGTAAGGGGGCGACTGGAAGCGATAACCTTGATGTGATCGATCGTTTTCTTGATCCTATCGCTCACCAACACTGATTGTCGACACAAGCAGTTTCGAAAGGCGAGCATATAGAAAGATTTAGTAAACCGATGTTAGTAGTAAGTGGTTACAAAAGTTGATATTATGTTTTATATTGTCGTTACTAAAGTTCTCTCTGCTTTGAATTCAGTCTAAAATAAAAATACATAGTAAGGTGAGCTGTGTTGTAAAATATACCAAACACATTATTCAGTGTTGTCACCTTATTAAACAAAACCTTTTGCGTATCTGTGTAATATGAAGTTACTACTCACATCAAACCCCAGTGACAGAGTGACGGAAATAGCTTTATAATGTGAGTCTTCAAATGAAGTGCATTATTATGTACAATAGAAAATAGTTAAATGACAAAATCCAACGAAATGACGCTTAAGTATAATAGATTATCATCATTAACGGTAAATGCACCAATTAAAAGACTCACTAACAATGAGTAAAATAGATATTGTATTATGAACCCCAGTTTGCCTTTTTGTAGATGCAAAACGATGTCGATAGTTGAAGTTGTCGTTCGGTATGCTCAGGAAACTAGTTCTACGTTTAGAAAGACAGTTGTGTATTTTTGACGCTTTGCGAAAATGGTGTCACCTCCAATGATTGATACTAATATTACAAACAAAGCAATTCTCTTATTATCAAAATACAAAGTTGCTATGGTGTGTCACAGAGAAGTGGATGTCTTTATCTAGGTAATTGCGAATGCGCAAATTTAAATTTGACCAGTTTGGCAATTGTATGTTATTTAGGAGCTAATCTAATCACTGATGAAATGCTATGACGACCTAGCAGCCGAATCTCTGATAAGTTAATCAGGATTGAAACCTATTGACAAGGCGGTTGAGAGTGGAAACTTAAAACCAATATATTACAGCTTCAAATGCAGTTAGGGAACTCTGCACAAGCCACAAAACCCAATTGATCCTCTAGTTTTTTTCTGCGTGACATTCAAGTACCAACTGACATGAGTTGACGAATGAGAAAACATAATTTAACACTACAATACTCAGATACTGTTTCACCAGTCAACGAATAAAGATTTGTATGTTTGAAATAACAGAACAGTTAAACAGCAAACTGAACCAACAAAAATATTCTTGATTGGTACCTCAAGAAAAACCCAACTAGTTCAACCACTTATTTCATTGTATGTCCAATACATTACTAACAAAATTCACAGTTTATATCCTAGTGTAATCTCTTGATCGAGGCTACAGACAAACGTTTATTGACTTCGAGACGACCCAATAAACGAGTCTATGTTGTCATTCAAATCACGTCTTTGACCGTTGATTTGCATTCGAAGATGATTTATTTACAAACTGTAGTCCAACTCAGGACAAGTTGTTACTAAACGTTAGTCACTGCCTAGTGCGACGTGTAATAGTGATGATTAACACAAGAGGAATTTAGCGAAAGACCCGTAATGGCCAAATGAAAACGCGGCGTTGATTTTCGAAATCACAGACATTTGGCTTGAAGTGCGTTATGAGGTGTAGGTATCCTGTATCGGTTAAGCGCGATAGTCGTACTCTATAGCTCACAAGTGGTCTCAGTAGGATAGAGGTTATCGTTTCTGTACATCCTGAACCTTATAGACATTCCGTAATTCTGAAACTTCGAACTGATTCTTTACAAATCAACATTTAGTTTGTTGTACGGTGATCAATACTACTAAGACTGCCTATTACATAATCTTTGTTGACGTTTATTTTGTGGACTTCATTTATCTGCATTGATGTGGGTTGTAATCCTGTGGAGAGTCTCGGCTCCTTCGGTAATCTAGATGTACATTGATGACGAATACCAAGCAAAATGATATCATGGATTTGCTCACAATTTTATCCAACCGTTATTACGTAACGGTTAGTCCAATGTCATTTGATTTAACTTTCGATAAACACCTCCTTATCGACAACCAGAACACAAAATCGACTGTGAAAACCTTCCATGGTAAATCGTACTAGAAAACACTGATGGGTTCACGTAGTGCTCTGTATGATAGTGGTACACAACAACTTAGTTAAATGTCACATGGTCTGCTAGTTAAATTTTGTGACTAGTCACACTCACACCAAGTTCATGTGCTTCAAATTGGGAATATACAACATTTATAAGCACGAAATTATGATATATTTGGTCGATCGATGGCAACACAAATAATGCAGCTCTTTGCAGTCGACTTTCAGTCACATACCATCTGCGTTTATAAAGACTAATTATACCACCCATTTGTCCAAACTAAAGTAGACAAAAGTTGGGGATTTGAATGTCACACCTGTTGGTTATAAACCAATCGTTTCCTCTGGACACTAAAGTCACCATTTATTTCGATCTGAAACCATCACAGTATTATTGTGGATAGGGGGTCAATATAATAATAGCAACAATGTTACAATCCTTTACTTGAAAGACAAAATCTTGATGTGAAGCAGAAGATAAGCCAGGCTCAAATAACATCATACCACCCATTTGTTGGTTGATTGAAGCCATTTGATACGGATCAGTCACATAACCATCACCCAATGCTACACCTCTTCCATTGCTCATGTATGGCGTCGTCTGACCATACATTTGAGCATAACCACCACCAACTCCTCTGCTACTGATATTGCTGCCAACAACACATCTTCCACCATTCCAAGATCCATCACAACTATAACCTTGTTGTGTATAAGGAATTAAAAGCAACAACTTAAGCATTCGACGTAATTAACAAATGTATGTTTAGCATACATTTTGCTGATGGATTTGGTTCGCTTAAATGATGCGATGTGTACTAAATCTTTTTCCCAGTGTATAAAACTACTTGGTGTTTCTAGTGGTCATATATTCCCTGAACTGGATAGTTTCATTAAAAAGCTTTTATTGTCGTCACAGACAGAAGCATTTACCTAGATCACTATCTATACATATGTATATATACACTGAACAATATGGATTAGGATTTGATGGTGAAGTTTCGTTTCGATTCATTCATTTTTCTTTAGGATTAATTATTAATTTACTGAGTGCCTCTGAAAGATTCACTTACAAAATCGATAAATTTATTGCTTACATTTACTCAATAATCACTACAGATTCACAGAATGTTTGAGTCGTGTGGCGATAGAGAAGAGTCACGAGAAAAAATCCACTTATTATTTCTTTACGGATGTTATTCACCTCAAATCGTTTTAAGTAAAAAGACAAGTTGGTTCGTTTGAAACCTTATAGATATCAGTTTAGTTTGTAAATAGTATTTGACACTGACCAACAGTATATGAGATGCAACTGAAAACGAGGGAGTAATGGACACCTGTTTCGTCCTAATATCAGACTCCTCAGAGGTGTATACTGGGAATAAATGTAGCCCATAAGCTGACAATATTATGCAAACCTAAGGTTACAATAACGAACGAAAACAAGCCAAAGATCAATTACAGGACGATTCGAAAACACTGAGGCAAACATCATGAAGGGAATAATGGACACCCTCTTCGTCTAAGTCTACGTATCACCAGTTAGCTGTAAAACCACAGGACGTCTCTTCTCTCGTGTCAACACATACAGACAACTGTGAACATGAGTTCGACTGTGTGGATGTTGAAATATTGAACAGAGGAAACATGAAATCAGCCAGAGAGTTTTTAGGAGCTTATCACTATGATAAGTACCAACCAATAAACATATAGAAATCGACCAAATCTGTCAACCAACGCAAAGAAGGATTAGCGATTGTAAGGTTTGATAGGTAAACAACTAAAACAAACATACAAGCAACGATCACACGGTCACAGATAACAGACGACCAAACTTCAGGTCAAAAACCAAGTTATTAGTCGATTGTAGACGCATGTAGCGGTATATAAATCCATAAAATAAATAGTTCTGCAAGTCTTCAGTATTCATGCTGATCTCATAACTTTTACTGAAAACACCCTTTCTGAAGGCACCCAATCACGCATCACACCAGGACGCTAGTGGATACGCTGTGCTGTACATCCCTTGTAACTACTAGCCAGCTTAGATCGAAGAATTCTTAGCACGTCGACAACCTTCCAAATATATCTCCGAACTAATTCAGTCCTGACCGCTGATTTGATAAGCTGGTATACTTCGATTATAAAAGTGCTACGAGTAAATGCGTTGTCAAACTCCATGATACTTGTGACATCTTCAGTGGTGAGCCCGATTTTATCTGCTACACCAGACGATGAACTGCGGGTCTGCTTTTTGTTTTAACATTATACATCATTTTTCACTTTTGCATATCGTGAAATTTATGTATTCTTGGATATTTTTCGTCCATTTATACATTTTATTTTGATAATTTTTATGCTTGAAACTAATTCGATTCCGCGGTAACGAACGAAAGCCAATGACTCAATGACACGATAAGCTATTCTAATCGGTTGTCCCAGGCCCCGCTAACTAGATGAAGAAGTCCAAGGCAAGTAGGGGAATATATATATTCCGTAAGCAGCAGAGTACAAGCAATCGAACAATGGAAAAAGCCAAGCGCATTTATACAACAACAATTTGTCCTTGAGCATCATTGGTAAATAGCACACACAAAGAAACAATGGACCAATAGCGTTTAAGATAGTTTACAGGTGGGAAATATGACGTGAAGGTAAAAAGAGCGCTTTTGGCGCGAAAACAGCTAAATTCAAATTTTCAAAATAAAACTACAAGATTAAGCCATTTACCAAGTAAGTTCTGGAGATTTGACATCCCCAACACCTTCCCTTTTTTAAGAAATCCGAGCACCTCCTCCCCCACGAAATAGTGTTGGATCCTCATATACCCAAGTTTCTATTAATGCGATTCTATTGATAACATGTTTCTGGCATTCAATAGGGAACCTGCTAAGATTGACTGGATGGTGAGGATCGACATTTGATGTGAGGTCAGAATTTGATTCTGCAGAAATGTAGTCATTAGACTTATTGCAAACATCACTGGCAGGTTGTGGATCACTATGATAAACAGTGTCCAGCAAAACTGCGCTAGGTTCCAGATTTGATGCATGTAACAAATTTCCTGGACAAGCTTGGGAATCTTTAGCATTAGATTCGGTAAAAATTTCTATTGCAGAATGCGATTCGCTCGGTGTGCTGCTCGATATGATGTCTGGCACTTTGTGGGTGATTTTTGCGACCACTTCATGGGCTTTTAACATAGCATCGTGTTGATGAGAGCTGAATGCGTCATTGATAGGACCTGCTAATTCCGGGATAGTGGGGTTTGAATCCACTACCGGGCATGTTGCTGAAACGGATAGTGATGGACAACCGGGAGTGTCTTGTGATACTGCAGTTTCGTTTAGGTTGCGGCTTGTTGAGGAATCATGGGGGCTGCGATCATTTGCTAGCTCTGTGTGCAATTCAGAGATTAATACATCCACTTCTGACGCATATGTGAAGCATTGATGATCCAGAAACTGTGTACGTAGTTTGACCATGAACTCCAAATGTCGATCAAAGAGCAACTGTAAGCGGTCAGAAGGGAGCGTCATTTTTCACTTTTGTCCCCGTCGCCAATTGTTATGCTTGAAACTAAATCGATTCCGCGGTAACGAACGAAAGCCAATGACTCAATGACACGATAAGCTATTCCAATCGGTTGTCCCAGGCCCCGCTAACTAGATGAAGAAGTCCAAGGCAAGTAGGGGAATATATATATTCCGTAAGCAGCAGAGTACAAGCAATCGAATAATGGAAAAAGCCAAGCGCATTTATACAACAACAATTTGTCCTTGAGCATCATTGGTAAATAGCACACACAAAGAAACAATGGACCAATAGCGTTTAAGATAGTTTACAGGTGGGAAATATGACGTGAAGGTAAAAAGAGCGCTTTTGGCGCGAAAACAGCTAAATTCAAATTTTCAAAATAAAACTACAAGATTAAGCCATTTACCAAGTAAGTTCTGGAGATTTGACATCCCCAACAATGATAATAGAACAGGCACCCAAATTGTTGAGGATTTTTACTCTTACGTCCACCATCTTTAAATTCATTCCATTTTGGTCGGATAATAATGAAACCTGATCCTGCTATCCTTCGTGAAATACGGTCTGATGATGTATTTGAGAACTACAATGAAAGCTCCACAACTAATCCACCCACCCCAGAGATTACAACACCAACAGTTTCGTCCTGAGCTACAAATATTTTTGTTGTCACACATGTGTTTGGTTTGCGCATTCTGAACTTAACTCCTTACTAATCATTATCTTAAAGTATGATCAACTAGCGAAAATGGGCAAATACCGAAGCAGCCGTTCAAAAGATTTTTACGTTAACAGGTACCAGTCAAATTCACTCCTGATGATTATTAATGGAAATACAAACCCTTACAATTGATAATCACACTTTCTTTAGTTCAGTAAAAAAAACATTCTCAGTAATTTATTGAGTATATAGTGGCGCCGAATTTGTTTGTGTGTAATCATAGTTGGTTAGCTGCAGTTTGAACAAACGACGACGATTTAATTGTTTTTAAATAAACTGTCCATAATTATTTTGGCAATGATCATCAATCCTTCAAATACATTCTGACTATGATGTAAGTGTTCACAAATGATTGAATACAAATGTTCATGAGGATTAGGATGAATAATATTTACTGTGTGGAGATCTTGATAATATCAGTTAAAAGGCGATTTATTAATTTATTTATTCAAACACATAAATATTGGTACAAGGGGGCACCAGACATATATGCGTCACACAAATCTCATTTCATTTGTGTGAGGGCTGTGATACTGCCCGGCTGCCCAAATTGAAAGAGGTGGTTTTCTTAGGGAGCCGCACCCGGAGACTTTGACCTAGAGGTCTAATCCACAAGGCAGTGGAGCATCGTGAGGAGATGCAGTCCCATGGTAGCCGGTGACCAACGATTGATTCATACGCCATTTGTTCCCTCAGGATACTGGAGCCCATGTGCACCATTGGTTTGGAATCAGGGTTTTCCAACTCCCCTAGGTGAAATTTCCGTGTGCACCAACTCGGTTAAAGCGCCGGACATTCGCTTTTTTTCCTCTCGATTTCGTAAACAACACCCTCACTGAGAGAAGGCAGTGAGTAGGACTTCCCTGGTAGAGGCTATACACGCGTGGCCATGTGAGAGCATTTCGAGGAAAGCGGACACTCCTTAATCTCAGCCGTACCAGAGTATTTGGGAAAGTTTTGTAAACAATGGAAATATCATTTTTAAAAGAACAGAATGATAAGGGAGTGTAGAACAAACAAGGCTCAGCACGACAGTGATTTGCAAAGGAACTGGTACATACAAATAATTTGAATTGGTTGTCATATGAGTTCCATAAACAATGTGGTATTTGAGAACAATCTACATGAGAAACTGCTTCAAATTAGGCAGTCAACTTGACCACTTTAAGGCTTGAAGTGTTTAAATTTCAATTACACAAAGAGTTTCATACTGGAACGAGACAATTGTTCAGTGCTTCTTTATCTTCAAATAATTGTCTAGCTAAATTCTGTTACTGAAACAATCTGCTTACAAATTTTATTCCTGTAGTACATTTACTAACCACGAGTTGATGTACTTCATTTCAAAATAATCTTGTGTGAGATTTGTTTGTTGTACTGTCCAACTAGTTGGATCAAAATGGATTCAGTGAAACTTGAACATGAGAGCCAACAAATAGGATCCTACTGTTCGATTTGCGAGTTCACCTCACTTGTTTAACTTCATCTTAGATGTCTTCATGAAAATCACACTCTTCATCCAACGTCATATATATATATATATCGGCATGTTCAACTACTGATTAACAACTGTCTACGTGTACTTAGTTTTTCTTTTTAACTGTTCAATAGTTGCAGTAGATGAACAGTTATTCAAGAGTGCATATGATATGTTACTATGTTTATACTAGAATGTAGGATAAGTAATCTAATTCAATAGACTATAGATTACAGACCGTAAATTGTTGAATAAACTTGTAATACTACTATTACTGTTTTTCAGCAATATCCTATAGAATAAATCAATTAAAAATAACACTCCATTAAAAGTCAATAAAAAGCTTACGCCAATAGATAAACAGAATTTAAATAAACTATGTATACAGCAGAGTAATTGAACGCTTACCACTATTACCACCCTGAAAACCCCCACGACCGCCATAATGACCGTCGCCACCACCACTGCGAGTACCTCTCTGTGTACCACCACCCCTATCTGGTTGACGTTGTTTAAAAGCATGCATTTCAGGTGGAGGAGGCTCCAATTCCCATGCTCTACCACCTCGATCAGGGACCCATAAAACAGACAAAAAATAACCAAAAATATATAATAAATCAGTATCATTCTCAGTTGGTGGAAAAAAAGCATTAGCGACTATGGTGAAGTGAAGTATCACAATTAACAGTTGTATGCGTCAGTGTTAGAAACACTGATTTACAAAAATAATTCCAATGGTGTATTTGAAGGCTTTTTCCCAAGGATGACAGGTCAAATGAATGTTCTTTTTAACGCAGTAATTAACATGAAACAATAAGAGACAAATATTACCATGATCGACAGACTTCATGATTTAAAAAAATATAATCATCTCAAAGTAAACTTAGAACGCTCGGATTTCAACCGTTAGAGGTACTACGTTCGCATCATGCTTGAAAACCTCCCAATGTGCAAGTTGGTATTTATTAGTTGTCCTTCATAACAACAAAACTCCGCCTGTAGCTCCTCCGGGGGCTACTGGCGGTCCCAAGCACGGATAAAGGAGGAGGATTTAGCATGGGGTTAGCGAACCCATCTCATAGAAAGCCAACTCGCTAAAAAAACGCTAACCAGAAAAAAATAATTCAAACCATTTAAACTCTGCCCTGGGAGTTGAAGGAAGAGTTATGACGCCTCATGATGAAAGTCGAGTTCCTTCGAACGTCATGAGGCCGATACACCTAACAACCAGAGCAACACTCTGTATAGGTATATGGAACGTCCGGACAATGTGGGAGACCGGAGGAGTCCTCCAAATTGTTGCGGAAATGAGGAATTACAACCTGGAGATCAGTGAAACAAATTGGACGCAGGTCGGACAACAACGACTATCTTCAGGGGAGCTTCTGTTATACTCCAGCCATGAAGAACAAAATGCCCCACATACACAAGGAGTTGCATAAATATTGTCCAAACAAGCACAAAATGCATGGATCTCATGGACCAATGATCATCAAAGCCTTCAACATGTCAGGAGGTTCTGGGCCACAAGAAGCACCATCACAAGGAATGGATCACTGTTGGTACACTGGATAAGATTGAAGAAAAGAGGAACAAGAAGGCAGCAATCAATACCAGCCGAATAAGAGCACAAAAAGCCAAGGTACAAGCCGAATACAAACAAGCAAGTGAAGAGGAGCATCAGAACCGACAAACGTAAATATGTGGGATATCTAGTAATGACAGCGGAAGAGGCTGCAAGAGAAGGAAACATGAGACAACTGTATGATACAACAAACAAGCTCGCTGGAAATTACCGTAAACCAGAACGACCAGTGAGAAGCAAGGGAGGAAAGATATTCACCAACATTTAAGAACAACGGAGCAGGTGGGTAGAACACTTCGAAGAACTAATGAGTCGACCAGCTCTACTGAACCCACCCAACATCGAAGTAGCACCCACGGACCTCCCAATTGATGTTGGTCCACCAACAATCGAAGAGATCAGCATGGCCAGAAGACAATTCAAAAGTAGCAAAGCAGCGGGACCAGACAACATTCCAGCAGAGGTACTAAAAGCAGATGTAGCAGCAAATGCAGAGATACTCCACATTCTCCTCAGTAAGATTCGGGATGAAGAACAAGTACCAACAGACTGGAAAGAAGGACTTCTGATCAAGATACCAAAGAAAGGCGATCTGAGCAAGTGCGACAACTACAGGGGCATCACTCTTCTCTCAATACCAGGAAACGTCTTCAACAGGGTATTGTTAAACAGAATGAGGGACTCCTGTTATGACTCGTATAACAATTATTATTGTATATGAAACGTGCAATGATACAGAAAATACGTACGAGCAGTCTTGATTGCTATTCGGTCCTTCCTAACTGCCTAGCCCAGCCAGTTGAGTCCAGAACACAAATAACAGCCTCGGAAATATGAATCATTATTCACAAGCACACTGGGTTATATATACTAACCAAACAGACCCAATTATACCAAAAAATAGAAAAATAACATTTGTACAGTAATTGGCCAATGTGGCTGTAGCTAGGGGGAAAGTAATCAATAATAATAGTTCCAAGGTCAAAACAAAAGTTGTGATAAGAGGAACACGGAAACGATTAGGTCACTTATTTAACAACTATCCAATAGGGAATGGGCATATTGTATTTGTCCATAAATAGACATCAGATTTAGGTTACTCATTTAACAACTATCCAATAGGAATAGGCGTATTACATTTGTCCATAAATGGACATCAGATTTATGATTCATAATTCGCCAGGGGATACAACACCTCCCCTTTTTGAGAAATCCGGAGTTGATATCCGGATTTTTAATTTCCTCGAATTCACCCTCCCCCACGAAAGACTGTTGGATCCTCATATAGCCAAGTTACTATTAATGCGATATGTTTGTCACATTTAACAGGGAATGCATTAGAACTGACGAGATCATGAGGATCGACGACATTTGATTCGAGGTCACCAACATTTGATTCTTCTGAAATAGTTTCCTTGAATTTCCTCGGAACCTCATTAGTAGATAATGAATCATTAGGATAATCAGTATCTATGAGAGTTGTATTAGATTCTTGATTATCATTAAATACATCTGTCATTTTTCTCTCATTTTTATAAGAGAATTCAACAGAAACATATGAACCATCAAAATAATCTAAATCTGGTAGAACAATTACAGAATTTTGATCATTAGATTCATTAGAAACATTTTCCGTATCATGATTAATTTCATTTGGTGCCACTGTATTACATATACTGCTCGATTTGTTTCCCGTTTCTTCGTGGGCGGGTACTGCAGCAATTTCATGAGCATTTTGCAAGACATTTACTTTCTGTGAATAGGATAATTCATTGTTTGCACGTCCGTTTTCGGGATTAATAAGACTTGGACCGTGTACAGGGCATGTCTATGAAACAGGTAGTACTGGGTTACTGGGCTGATCATGTATAACTGCTGCGCTTAAATTATTGCTTTGTACGGATTCATTGAGGCTTTTGCCGGCATATTCATTAGTTCTGTAACTGTTTTCCAGCTCTGTACGCAATTTTGAAATTATTGCGTCAACTTCCGTTTCACCCCCAAAGCATGGGTGATTCAGCAGCTTCGCGTGTAATTTGTCAATGAAATCCAATTGACTCTTTCTGAAGCGCTGCTCTTGTCGCTGGATTAGCAACTGAAATTGGTCGCAAGTTAAAGCCATTTTTTTAATGCAAATAATAATAATAATCCAAAAAAAAACACCGGCAATTATTATGGATTATTTAATTCCAAAATGACGTCAGCGGCTGCTGTATTTTTTTTTCAGAATCCCCGTCGCCAATTGTTATGACTCGTATAACAATTATTATTGTATATGAAACGTGCAATGATACAGAAAATACGTACGAGCAGTCTTGATTGCTATTCGGTCCTTCCTAACTGCCTAGCCCAGCCAGTTGAGTCCAGAACACAAATAACAGCCTCGGAAATATGAATCATTATTCACAAGCACACTGGGTTATATATACTAACCAAACAGACCCAATTATACCAAAAAATAGAAAAATAACATTTGTACAGTAATTGGCCAATGTGGCTGTAGCTAGGGGGAAAGTAATCAATAATAATAGTTCCAAGGTCAAAACAAAAGTTGTGATAAGAGGAACACGGAAACGATTAGGTCACTTATTTAACAACTATCCAATAGGGAATGGGCATATTGTATTTGTCCATAAATAGACATCAGATTTAGGTTACTCATTTAACAACTATCCAATAGGAATAGGCGTATTACATTTGTCCATAAATGGACATCAGATTTATGATTCATAATTCGCCAGGGGATACAACAACTCCGTAGACGCCCAACTTCGAGATCAACCAGCTGGATTTCGTAATGATCGATCGTGCACAGATCAAATTGCAACTCTACGTATCATTGTGGAACAATCAATTGAATGGAATTCATCACTCTACATCAACTTCATTGACTACGAGAAAGCATTTGGTGTGAGTCTGCTGCCTGAAGAACGACTTCTCGACCTCGAGTATGCGGATGATATTGTCTTACTGTGCGATAATGCCCAAGGCATGCAATCAGCACTTAATCAGTTGGCAATCAGTGTCCGCAGGTACGGCATGTGCTTTGCACCCTCCAAGTGGCGTGAGTGACGAGATTGATGCACGTATAATGAAAGCCAGAGCGGCTTATGCCAATCTGGGTCATCTTTGGCGCCTTCGTGATGTTAGTCTGGCTGTAAACGGTAGGATCTACAACTCGTCGGTGAGAGCAGTTTTGCTCTATGCTTGTGAAACCTGGCCTCTCCGAGTTGAGGATGTTAGACGTCTCTCTGTGTTCGATCATCGTTGTCTCCGAAGCATTGCTGACATCCAGTGGCAACACCATGTTAGTAATGCACAGGTTCGCCATCGTGTGTTCGGGCGCAGAGACGATAATTCAATTGGTGTCACCATCTTGAAACATCGACTTCGGTGGCTTGGACATGTTCTACGAATGTCTTCCCAGAGAATTCCACATCGTGCATTATTTGCCGACTCTGGGACTGGTTGGAAAAAGCGGAGAGGAGGTCAGTGTATGACATGGTGTCGTGGCATGAAAGAGTGCTGCAAAGGGCTAGCTTCCGTTGGTCCTTCACGACTCCCTGGCTGGGGTCCGAGAGATGGTGCAACACAGTGGCTAGAGACGTTATCAGATATAGTTCAGAATAGAAGTCAGTGGCGATCCTGCTGCAACCTTTTTTTTACTCTCTACATAATGAGTAGTCTTAACTTTCCTAACTGAAAGAGTCTTCTGGTTGTACATTTCAGTTCCCCCCATCATTACTCTTTTCTTTTTTTGCCCTTCTTTTATATATACACATCTTCCTTCTCCTCCCATTCTCATTATTCTGTGTGGCGCATATTTATCCGGTGCCCTTTGTACCAATATATATGTGATTAAATAAAATAATAAATAAATATGATAGCGTGGACAAGACAACACTATGGAGGCTTCTTCGACACTAAAGTTGCTTACTCTCACCCTTTCTCTTTCTTCTGGTGATCGATTGAATCATGAAGACGCCAACATCTGGAGGGAAGCACGGGATACAGTGGTCAGCTATGATTCAGTTGGACGATTTAGACTTCGCAGATGATCTGGCTGTTCTATCACACACTGAACAACAAATGCAAGATAAGATGACCAGTGTAGCAGCCGCCTCAGCAGCAGTAAATCTCAATATGAACAAAGGGAAAAGCAAGACTCTCCAATACAATACAGCATGCCCTGATTGAATTACGCTTGACGGAGAAGCTTTGGAGTATGTTAAAATCTTTATATATCTGGGCGGCATCATCGATGA